GGGAGCCTCCCCTCTGCCTGGCTGGCGGCCAGGGGGAGTTGGGTCAGGTGTTTGGAAGAACTTTCTCCCCCCAGGTGGGTGAAGCACTAGAACAGGTGACCCAGAGAGGTGGTGCAGTCTCCATTCCTGAAGGTTTTTAAAACCTTGCATGACACAGGCTTGGCTGGGATGATGCAGTTGGGGCTGGTCTTGCTTGGAGATGGGGGTTGGTTTAGATGCCCTGGTGAGATCCCTCCCGTTGTAGGATTCTGTGACTTTTCTAGAGTCCAGGCCCCTCCAAAGGTTGACAGCTCTTGTTACAGACCAACTACATTGGAGCTGAGGAGCACGAGCTTCACTGAGCTGAGCTCACATGCTCCAAGGCTGAGAAATACTTCTGCAAGTGAGGCTGAGCTTGAGTGGAGAAAGGATCTCTGGTGCAGCAGCCACCTTTTTTTGTAGAAATAAACTTGCTGAAGTTGGTTTTGGCTTTACAGGGCCCTGGTAGCTAGGGTTCTTGATAAGCCAGTTAACTTGTTGCTGGTGCTGGATTGTTGTTGTTAGTCATGATGGTTCAAGAAATAAGCTAGAGGTAAGGATTTTTTGTGGGTGATGCCTTTTATTGGAGGGCAGGGTAGATGTGCACCTTGCAGACTAACCAAAGTAGATTTCATATGCATATGCATAGCACAAGTTTTCATGAGCTGAAGCTTACTTCATATATGTAGTACAAGTTTTCATGAGCTGAATGGAGAGAGAGAGAGAGAGAGAGAGAGAGAGTGCATGTGTGTACCTACTTTTGTTAATCTGTAACAGTGATTCTCAACCAGGGTGATGGGAGATCCTTTGAAGGGTGCAAAGAAGTGTGAAAAGATAAGTTCAGGCCCAGTCCCCTGACTTAATGTCTGGCTCCTCTGGAAGGAGAATAAACTCGAATAAATAAGTTCTGGGGTTTTTTTCTCTTTATGTAAATAGGGTGGTACTCAATTCAGAAGCGTTATGGAAGGGGAATTTGAATCTAAAAAGGTTAAGAGCCACTGCTCTGTAAGGTACAATTCTACCCTGCCTTTTACTTGGCTTCAGCTTAACGTGGCAAACTACATATTTTTGTTCATGGATGGCACTTTTATTAGGCCTCCTGTATGGTTAGGATAAACTTGGATAGGCTTTCAAATGCAGTACATTTAATTCAAAACCTTGTTCAAACTCAAGTCTGCAACTGGTAGTGGTTATATCATTAGAGGCAGGTGGGCACATGGTATTGTATGTACTGGCATTGCTCTTGTTGCTGTTTCTTAGAAGATGGAGAGTTGATTTTTTTTTTTTTTTTTTTTTTTTTGTCTATGGGAAGGGTGTCAAACCTTATGTTAAGTTTAACATAAATTTAAGAGCTGCAATATGTAAATACTGCAGTGCAAAAAGAGACTGCTGCTATTCTTGTGTCCTGTGCTTAATTTTTGTAAGGTTTTTTGTCCTACAGTGACCAAATTAACATTCCCCTTTCCCCGCCTCCCCCCTTTCTGCAACATCCTGTGCTTCTAAATGGCTTTTCAGAAGGCAGTATTTCCTGTCTGAAAGGAGTAGCTATTTTTTCCCTGTACTCTGTCATCTTAAAATGATATGTCACCATAATATCCAAATGCATCCATAATATTCAAGAGAACAAAAATCTTGATAGACGGCAATCTAACCTTCCTCTCTTTGTGTGTGTCCTTACTAAATTTAATTGAATTATTTTAGAACATTTTTCTAGTTCTTTAAGGTCATTCTGACTCCTCATCCAAATGCCATCTTTCAGCATCTGCAGCTCCATCCATCTGATGTCATTTGAAAATCTGCTGACTGTGCATGCAGTCCTATTGTTCATAGATTCATAGATGTTAGGGTCGGAAGGGACCTCAATAGATCATCGAGTCCGACCCCCTGCATAGGCAGG